ATCATCATCATCATCATCATCATCATCATCATCATCATCATCATCATCATCATAATCATCAATAGCAACAAAATAAAAAAGGAGGAGAGCCAGGGGTTATAAATTATGTTTGATACGGGAAAAGGACAAATCATACCAGAGCTCCCAGCAACCGCCCACTTTCATCAACCAACCAATAGCCGAGCAAACAGCGCAAAATCACTCACCTCCTGAGCTGTGGTGACAGCGCCCTGTGTACCCTTACATGGGTCAGCCCTCTGTGACTTTCTGCTATCTCGGCATTCCCGGGGATTCATGGTGTCTGAAACACACGGTAGCACAACGACTGTCTTTGAGCGCACAGGAACTGTCACAACTACAGACTTCAACAAAAGTTAAGAACCACTTTGACAGACAGTCCTAATTTTAAAAAATATCAACAACAAAAAAAAAAACACAGCAAAGATTGTTTCAAAATTTTGCTCTGAAGGTGTTAATGGGTTACCAACACGCACTGCAAGCAAAGCCTCCTAAAGGACTAAAACCACCACGTGCAGCATGGAAATCCTCTTGGAATTTTAGCCAAATTTGCTGTTTTCTATCGGCTTGTTTGCGACACCATGGACTTTCCTCAGTTAAAAATTTTGGTGCACGTCACAAACGGACGTACGATCTCGAACTGTGCTCACTTTGGTCGCAATTTAAGCCACCGTTTGCGCAAAATCCGGTATCGCATCAACAAACATACCACCAAGACGAAAGCTGAGAGATTTTGATTCGTGTCAGAGCTATGGCATGGCTAGAGGATGGAGTTGGATCCCCAGAAGTTGCCAGAAGGCTTTTAGTGTCATACTCTGTCATTGTCCGCCTGAAGCAGCACCCTCAGGCCACTGGGTCAGTCCAAAAACGCCCACGTGCAGGTCGACCCAAGAAGACCACTAAGAGAGTTTGCAAGTGGTCCCTAACTTTTGTTGAAGTCTGTATATATATAATTATTATTATGTAAAACTTCTGAACGTTCTGAATTTTAACTAGATCTCTAGGTCTACTTTTAAAGCCTTTTATCAACGTAGGCCTACATTTTACAGTAATTAACCGATCAGTTTAAAACAATGTGCTGTAAGATAAATGCCTTTCAATATTTCAAATAGGCCTAGAGTCTTCTCTTCTTCTTCGTGTGTCAGGTCTGGAGCAGACCTTGACGATCAGGGTACCCCATTCTTTCCTGCTGTATTGTTCGTCTTCTTGATCAGCTCGGTTTTTCTCTTTTTGTTATTCGTTGCAAAGTTGTTCAAGTTCAAGCCATCTTGTTCTTTGTCTTCCTCTGCTCTCTCTAGATATCTTTCAACACAGCAGCAAACAGCTCAAATATTATGATATTAATTAAGGCGAAGGTAGATCTAGATTTAGATATCATGAGTGATGGCGAGAGCTGGTTTTCAGATGCAGTGGTGCCCCCACGGTTGCCCCAACCACGGGATAGAAGAAGAAAAAAGAAGAAGATCTAGATATATCTAGATCTACTTTGCTTCGGCCACTCTTTCCCGCCAATCTAATCTAAACTCAGCCATTCAGACCACACCCCCCCCCCCTTTTTCCGCCCAACCCCAACCTCTTCCATCTCCTTTTATTTTCTATACTGTTTCTTTGTGGTCGTTGTTTACGGAATTCCTTCCCAAATAAGCAACCCCCTCCCACCCCCCCACCCCAACCTACTAAAAAAGGAAACTACGAATAACGTAACAACAATAACAATTAATAACAGCTACAATACCACAACAGTAGCAGCTTCAACAAAAGACACCAAAACAAATAAACACTCCCCGCCCCCTACCCCCCCCTCCAATTCACCAAACTGAAAAAGGGAAAGTTATCGAAGGGTACGGTAAGCTATATCAAATCTAGAAGTCTAGATCTAGTTAGGCTAGGTTATTACAAATCAATCTCGCATGTTCATTAAAAAAAACCCCAAACGAATTCTAAAATACCTGTTGTGTCCTGTAGGACTTTCAGATCTTCTTAGAAAAGAGTCATAAGGTTCAAATAAGGCCGTAGCCAAGGAAGGAGATCTTACGTCATACATTGGAGCGGAAACATACGTCTGGGTGTACATTACTGAATTTTGTAAAAGTGTGTTGCCTCTTTTGTCGGTGCGCATGATATGGATTGGTGCGTGCGGTTATTAAAACTGCACGGGAAGAGAGAGAGAGAGAGAGAGAGAGAGAGAGAGAAAAAAGAAAAGAAGA